CACCAGCCACTCCTCAGAAGGAAGATGGGGCAATCTACTTCCGTAGTGATACTGCCTCGGAAACCCAAGGAGGGGTCGCTATGAGTTGGGTCCAACTCGATGGCACATAACAACAACAACAACAACTTCCTTATTAACTCAATGAACAATATGAACACTTTAATGTTAGATTTTTCTACATGTGAATTCAAATTAAATGATAGGCCTGTAGGCTAATAAATGTTCCATAAGCAAAACTGCTCATTCTTAATATCTAATATGACAAGGGCTTCTGAGAGTTGATTATTTTTGATATTTGTCTTATATTCAGAAAAAAAATTGCCATCTCATACCCCTATTTTGATTTCAATATTGATTCTAAAGATGAAAATACTCTACAATAACATGGTTTCTTATTTCTGAGGGCTGTTGGTTTCTAGTTACCTCCTTAAACCAAGGACTTGGAGCAGTGTCTACTCGTGCTCAAGAGAGAGAGGGAAGGAGCCTGCCAGCTCCTTTGGGTGCTTTCTCTCCCCACTGAAAAATCTCCAGGAATAGCTTTAGGAGGTGAAGAGAGAGACATGAGGTTTAGGTCATTCTGGATTCATGAAGAGGTTCAGAACATAGGTGTTGAAATATCTTAAGAGTAGAAGAGAGGTAAAGAAAAGGTCCTACTATCAACAACTAGGGGATTTCTTTTTGTTCTTAGGAATCTTTGCTATATGAGAATTGAGATTTTCATTTGGAGACAATAGCATTTGGTTTTTCAGTTACACTAGTTTCTATTTTTATATGGTAAAGATCAAACTAAAGGTTGAATTTGATTATCTCTGATACTAGCACATTATTTTTTTTTCCATAGATTTTAACCCTTTTATCTGGGCAACATTATTAGCTATCTTATTCTAGCTGATATTTACAGAATACCATATCCTACAGAACACATATTCTTTTCAAGTGAATATATTGGAGCATAAAATAAATCTCAATAAAGTTTTTTTTTTTTTATTGTGATTTGGGTGAAGATTTACAGAGCAAATTCACTCTCCATACAGCAGCTCACATATACTTTGTCTCATGTCATTGACCACAGTTTACCACAATGCAACTGCTCCCCTCCCACTTCCTCCCCATAGTTACCACTTCCCAGTGTCCATCCCTCCATACTCTCCTGCCCCCTGAGCTGTCTCCCTGTAGCACATTATTTTTAACTTAAGTTAAATCCACATGTATAACCCACCAGCCACTCCTCGGAAGGAAGATGGGGCACTCTACTTCCATAGTGATACTGCCTTGGCAACCCAAGGAGGGGTTGCGATGAGTCGGGTCTGACTCTATGGCACATAACAACAACAACAACAGCATATAATATATAAATAATATGTGTTATATATATATATATGTATATATATATATATATATATATATAATATATAAATCCATCTGTCTGTCTGTCTGTCTATCTATCTATCTATCATCTCCCAGCCACTCCCTGGGAGAAACGACCTGGCAATCTGCTCCTGTAAAGATTACAGCATTTGAAACCCCATGGGACAGTTCTACTCTGTTCTATAGGATTGTTATGAATTGGAATCCACTGCACACAACAACAAAAAGTAATAATAACCCAAACCAAAAGCAAACCCATTGCCATGGAGTCAATTCTCATCGATACACTATAGGACAGAGTAGGAATGACCCATAGGGTTTCCAAGGCTTTATGAGAGCAGACTGCCATGTCTTTTTCCCGCGGAATGGCTGGTGGGTTCCAGCCGCCAATCATCAGGTTAGCAGCCAAGGGCTTAATTACTGCAGCACCAGGGCTCTTTTTCAACAAATAACAGAAATCATTAATTCTCCAGGGTCTCTTAGAAGCAACTGAGCTTCCCACAGGAGGCTGGGAAAGGCCTGATAGATTGCTGTTCTTTCTGAATACTGTGTTCAGGGAGGGAGTGTGATGTTGCAGAAGGAACAAGAGTTTTGGAGGAAACATACTCAAGAGGTCTGAGCTGCAGTTCCTTTTGCAGGTTGTGTGCTCTTGGCCAAATTCCTTAGTTAAGAACCTCCATCTTCTTGTCTACAAACAGGTTGATGCAAATTTGCCTGATTATTCTCCTCCTTCTTCATTTTCTTCATGAAGATTATATGAAACTGCACATGTAATACCGGTATCTAGTAAGCACTGAATAAAATTTAGCCTTTTCCAGGGTTTGCATAACTGGCATATGATAGCTGTATATTTAAGAAAAACAATCCCATAGTATTAAATCTATGATTTTAAAGATTATCTAATTGTTTTTCATTTTATTTTGCTCAAATCCAACTGGTTTCTGCTTCTACCATACAAAAATTTTATTATGTCACATGGTTGATAGGTATTTAGTCAATCATTTGCCATGCCTACCTAGCATTCTTTGAGAGTCCCACGTATATTCATACCAAGTCCGAACCCGTTCCTGTACACTTTTGGGAATGGAGTAAGTGTTCATGTAGGCAATGGTATGATCCATGCAGACACGGAAGTGGTTCTGATTGGCTGTTGCTGCCCCAATTACATCTCGCATCTAAAACCACAAATATGGTCACATCACACCCAGCAGAGGAATGGGAAAAGTTATCAAAAGTTCGGTTGAGTTGAACTGTTCTCATATGATCAATTCTCTTCTAATGCACTGACTTTGATTTTAAACACATTGATATTGAGTATAAATATCCTAGCCATAAAACACTGGGAAAATCATATCCTCTTTCTGTCCCAATAAGGATGACAATAAGACCTGTTTTACCTACCATGTGAAGTTTTTGTGAGGATTCATTCACCTAATACATATGAATCTTCTTTGTAAACTTGCATATGACTACAAAAATGTTAGTTGATATTTTTTAAAAAATTATACAGCTTATGCTGATGCAAGGAATGTGCAATGAAAATTGAGCAATTACCTGGCAGAATGGCTATTCCCTTTTGGTGCATCTTCCTTTAACAGCGTCCTTCATAGATTATCCAGTGTGGCTGACTATATAGACTCAATTCATCATGAAATTGCAACCTCTGTACTTCCCTTTGTGTTGTTTAGACAGATAAAATCAAATCTTATTGCGCTTAAGGCATAGTATTCAGCAGAAGTTGAAATGTGCTGAAATTACTGAAGCATCATCTACTGCTGTGACAATACTTAAGGAACTGTCAGGTTTTAGTTCTTGAATGTTTATAACTCAGCCATAAAAATCCACTCTAGGTTAAAAGCTGATCTTTAAGGTCTCAGCGCAAAAAAGATATACAGTTTGACTCTTCGTCTCACATAGAGAGAAGCAAGTGGTTGTAAATTTACCTTGACTGTGAGTTTATAATAGGCAGGAGAACCAGGGCTTCACTTTCACACTCTAAACACTTGGCTCATTCATTCTAGTAGCTGGGCCTTTTCTGCTCATAGAAAAGCTACTCATTCTTTGAGGTCCAGCTCAAATGGCTATTTTGTTGTGATGCATTCCTCAGTTTCTGTTTTCAGAGTTAGTGAGCTCCTCTAATCATGGCAAATATTTGCTGAGAAGGGCTATGGATAGTCAAACTATTTAGATATACCTTTTTGTGTCTCTAACTTCCTTTTTGGCGACTATCCCAAATATTCTTCAACAACCTCTATTCCCACATATCTCTTTTCCAATCTCCCTATTTTACCAAGTCATGTAAATCTGGGAGACTTAGGATACTAGTGGTTAGGTTAGGAATTTAATAGAGTGTTAAGTGAAACCAAAGACAATTAAAAGTATTATTGATTGGTACTGGGTCCAGGAATGTGTAGTGACAATAACCTTTCTTTAATTATGTTGGGTTCTCTTGCTGTAGGAGTTGAGGAAGATGTATGTTCTATGATGTGTTCCAGGCCAGGGAAGTAAGTGAGGATGTGATAGGAAGAAAATATGTCTCTCTCTCAAGAGAAGAGAATATTACAGTTAAAATATGATGATTAGGTCCAGAATGGAGTCATGTGGGAATTTTGAATAAGTGAAAATTTTGTCCCAAGTCCTCTTACTTTTCTTTCTGTATTCTTTTCCAGCATGTTTGATTCAGTACAACTCTACAAGGCACAAACCTGTATCCCCCACTTCAGCCTTTTCCTGTGCTCTAGTACCACATTTTCAGTGACTTGACGTTTCTTCTTGTTCCTGTTGGACCTCAAATTCACTATAAAGGCAGCGTGGTGTGGTGTATAGAGCCACTGCTATTGAGTTGATTCCAACTCATAGTGACTCCCATAGGGTTTAGAAGCACTTCTCAAACTTTCATTTGCATATGAATCACCTCGATATCTTGTTAAAATGTAAGTTCTTACTCAGTAGGTTGAGGTTAGGGTCTGAATCCTAAATTTCCTAAGTGATACTGATGCTACTGGTTCAAAGACTGTATTTGGGCAGCAAGAGTGTTAAATTGGGGCCATATATATATACATATAAGTATATATATATAAGTCTTTTTGTGAAGAGTGCATTGGACAAAGTAAGTGCTCAATAAATGTTAGATATTACAATTATTATATTATCATTTATGACTTTTTCATTTACTGACTATGAATTAGTGATGCTTCTTAATTTCTCAAAACCAGAATTTCCTCACTGAATGAAATATTAAATGTGATGTGTTTATCTCACATTGATTTTAAGAAAAATTATGAAACAATATGATTTTTCACTATTTACAATCAATCGATTTGCATTGAAATTCTCTCCAAACCAGCATAATATTTTCAGTGTTACCACAATCTCACCAGCAATTACTAATTGTGATGTTTTCTATTCACAGTTTTTCACCCTGTGGTGTCCATCTTTCCAAACCTAACTTTATTTTAAATAGAGTTTCCTCTATAATCTCTCTCACCAGTCATTCACCATGTTCAGGCTGGAGCTGCTGTATTCCTGGACTAGTTCACTCACTTTTAACTGGGCTTTCTACTCCTTGTATTACCTCCTCCAATTCTTACTATATTTTGATGACTCTTCCTTGAATCTCTATGTTCAAAATCCTCCCTGGCTGACTTAACAGTGATATCCTAATATTTTAATTTTCACATATACCTCTAACTCTATATACAAGCATCCCTCACTCTGGTCATTCTGGACCTCTTTCTGCTTCCCCAAACATATCTTGTGTTTCATCACTGTCATCTTTGCACACACCATTCCTTAGCCTGATGGACTGAACATCTATCTGTAAAGGCTGAATCCTACCTGATTTTTTAAGATGGTTCAAGTGCATCCTCTTCTATGAGCTGGGTAGCCCTCCTTTTCTGAACTAACACAGAGTTTTTAATCTCTCCTCTTTTGCTGACCTGTATAGTAGACCCTTGACACTCAAGGTTGTAAGATTTGAGTTTTCACTATTTTTCAGCAGCTCCAAATGTCATAAGGAACAGTTCTTATTATCAAAGTTTCTTAAAGCATGAGTTTTATTCATGCCACTGTAATGTAATGAATGGAAACAAATCATTTACCTAGTGGACATAATCATTTCATGACATAGCCTTACTCGCCACTCAGCACACAAATCTCAGCAAGTCTTTATTGTTCTCAAACATGTAGATTGTAAAGTACCTCTCAGGAAAACATAACTCCTAAAGATGCTATGCTGTAGAGTTTTTTTCTTATGTATTTGGAAATTCACAAAGATTTTGGTCTATATCCATTGCAAATGACAAATACCTTGCAATATAGTTA